GGACTATGTTTAAAAAGTCCTTAAGTATCTTTATTCTACTAGATTACAGGCTAATATTAAGAAAAGCAAATTCTATATAACCTATGCCTGTTACCTTAGATATATCCTTACTAACAAAGGCTTAGAGGTAGATCCTAATAAAGTTAAAGTACTCTAAAACTAGTCCGCTCCTAAGACAATAACTAGAGTAAAGTCCTTCCTAGGATTTACTAGATTCTACTAGTAATTTGTAGAAAACTTCTCTAAGATAGCTAAGCCCTTAACTACTCTCTAGAGCCCTACTACCCTATTTGTATAGACTTTAGAATGCTAACAAGCCTTTAACTAGCTTAGGAATGCCCTACTAGCAATCCTAAGCTTAGCTTACTTCTATCCTAAGTATCCTCTAAAACTAGAGATAGACGCCTCTAATAGAGTTATTATAGCTATCCTCTTATAGGAGCATCCTAATAAGAAATAGTACCCTATATCCTTCTTTAGTTAGACCCTTACTAGTTCTAAACTTAACTAGGAAATCTATAATAAAGAATTATTTATAATAATCTACGCCTTTAAGAAATAGCGTGCTAACCTAATAAGTACTTAGCACCTTATTAGAGTATACACAGACTATAGAGCACTAGAGTACTTTATATCTACTAAAGTCCTTAGTGCTAGGCAAGCTAGATAGCTAGAGGTTATAAGTCCCTTTAACTTCTAAATTAAGTATACTCCTAGATCTTACAACGCCTAAGCTAATATCCTAAGTAGAAGGGAATAGGATATAATTAACCTTAAGACTACTTAAAGGGATAATTACTTATAAGTAATAATCGCCCTAGATAGGTTACACCCCTAAATTAACTCTAACTTAGCGCAAGACTACCTAGCTAAGCGTTCCTTACTAATCCTTGCTTTAATTATAGTAGTTTAGAACCCTATAACTCTTAGATCCCTAGAACTTATTAAAACTCTTCTCTAAGAAAATAGGTCCTTATTCCTAATAGAAAGATTAGAGTTGCCTAAGCACTATTAGATAGAAAATAGACTCCTTCTCTACTAGGATTAACTTTGCGTGCCTGCTAGATTAGTCCTATATACTAGACTAATTTATAAGGCTTATAATTAAGTGTCTACTACCTACCTATTAGCTACTAAAACCTATTAGATTCTAGCCTAACATTACTACTAGAAAGGTATAGAGACTACCTATAAACGCTATATTTAGAATTATATTCTATATAGGAGAGGGTACCTAAGATAGCACTAACTCCTAGGTATGCTACACCCCCTTCCTATCCCTAGTCTACTAATACAGCACCTGTGTATTAATTTTAAGGATTTTCCCTAGTATTAAAGTAGTTACAATTAGATTATAGTTATTATTAATTGCCTATTAAAGCAAGCTATTACTATCCCTTGCTATAAAACTATAGATGCCTAAGGTATAGCTACCTTATTTGTGTAGTAGGTGTACTAATTTAGACACACTCTAGATACTATTATTTCTAATTAAGGCCCTTAGTTTATATCTAGTTTCTAGTCTAAATTCTATTAGATTATAGGCACTAAAGTTAAGCTCTCTACTACCTACTATAAATAAACTAATAAATAAACTAAGATTATAAATAAGTATATTAATTAGAGACTAAGGCCTTTTATATCCTATTACTAAGATAACTAGAGTAACCTACTACCTATAATAGACTATACCTAAAGTACTCTTCTATATTTATCTATTAACATAGCTCTATATTAGCTCCTTATTAGTTCTTTACTAAAGTAAAGTTAGTATTAGAAACTAGAAAAGACCCTATCTACTATACTAGAGAAACTAAACTATAAGGACGCCTTATCCCTTGCTACTTAGATATATAACGCCTAGAAGATTACTAAAGAAAATATAGAAAGAGCTTAAGACTAAATACGCTCTACTACTAATTACTATTACTATCTAGTTAACTAGAAGGTTAGTAACTATATTTATTTATCTACTACTAATCTTGCTATTTTATAACCTAGCTAAAAACTATCTAAATAATAGGAAGGTCCCTTTAAGGTATTAGAATAAGTAGGAAACGCGTATTACCTCTAATTACTACCTAGTTCTAAGATCTATAATGTTTTCTCTCCTAATATACTATATAAAGATCCCTAAGACCTATTACTTAGATAAGAGGCTCTAAAACCCCCTAGTACCCCTATATAAGGTATAGAGGAATAGGAGGTAGAAGAAATCCTAGCTAGTAAATTATATTAATCTAAGCTAAAATATAAGGTTAAGTAGGTTAGATATAATCCTAATCCTATTTAGTATCCTACCTCTAACTTTATAGGTGCCCCCTATAAATTATAGGTATTCTACTAATAGTATCTAAATTAGCTAGGTCCCCTACGCAGCTTACTAAAATAGATTTAAGCCTAGGAAAAAGGTCAAGAGGATCTAATATTACTTTGTAATAATTATACCTAATATTAGAACTAATTTATATCCTATTTAGCTATATATTATCTATTAACTACTATCTATTACTATTATTCTTGTTACTATTTATTATTATATCCTATTTAGAACTATCCTAGAACCTTTAAGGTTCCTAGGATACTACCTCTAGGAAACCTCTTTATTCTATATCTATCTCTCTATTAGAACCTAGTTTAGACTCTGTATTAGCTAAGATAGCACCTAGACTATCTTTCTTAGCTAGCTTCTAGAAAACTAGTATAGCAGGGTTTAGAGCAGGTACAGGAGTAGGGGTAGGAGCTAGGACTAATTTAGACTCCTTCTTATAGAAAGCCTTTATCTTAGCCTACACTAGGAAGGTTGCCTCCTAATTTAGTGCTATTTCCTCTTTAAGTTTATTAATAGCCCTTATTAAGCCCTTAACTACTAAGACTATCTTATAAATACTATTCTAAAGCTAATATAAATTAGATATAGTAGTATAATATATAGCTATAAGGATCTTAGTAGCTTCTATACCCTTAGTCTAAGTATTAGTAATAGTAATATACTTAGTAAGGTTTTAGGTAGCTTCTTAAATAGTAGCCTTAAACTATTTAATATCCTTCTAATAAGTAACTATAGTATCCTTATCCTTATTACCTTTAGTAGGGTTTGCTACTAGGCTATAGTACTTATCTAGAGCACCCCTAAGGGTAGAGTACTCTAGGCTAATAAAAGAAGGAATCTACTAGAATTAGTAAAGAAACCTTATTAGACTTAGATACTTACTAGATTATAATACTTATTCTAGGAGATATAGTACTAGTACTTTTTAGAATTCTTTAACTTAAAATTAAAATTATTAAACTTGCCCCTAGCTAGAGCCCTAACTACCCTTATATAGAGAGCGCGATAAGTAATAGGGAGAACTCCTAGTAGTACTAGTACTAGCATAGCTAAAGGTTCTAATTTAGATTAGTAACTACTTAATTATATAGATTAAATACTTACTAGATTTTAGATAGATTAGGTTAAATAATTAAAAATTAGGGATATAGGAATAAGAAAGTTAGTAGGTAGAGGGCTAGTTATAGGCAGGCTAAGGATAGGGGTCTGTACCCTAGGAACAAAAAGTAAAGGTAAAGGTAGAGGTAAAGGTAGATTTATTTTGCAAGAGCTTTTCTTTAATAAGGGATCTAAACCTAATCCTAAGGATAGGGACTATCCTTTCTCTATAGGAGGGGGTAGTGTAATAATAAGGTAAGAATAGCCTACCTATTATTCTATACTAAGTTAGGCCTAATAGAGGCCTAACTTACTAATATATATAGAGAACAGCTTGCCTATAGTTAGGATAGGTATATTCTTCTTGTCCTTTTATACAAGACCTATAGGTGTAGGAATCTTATCCTTTTCTATACTAACGCGCACTCCTATATGCCCTTAAGTCGTATAGGATACCTTTTGGATGCCCTACCTACCTAAGTTGTTACAACTACCTACTAACTATAAGCGTAACTATAATAATAAAAGATCTACCTATACCTAGGGGGTGTGTTATAGGAGGGATATTAACTAGATTATAGAGCATCTTAATCTAATTAATCCTAATTAATACCACTATATAACCTACTATCTAATTAATTGCTAGCTTACTACTAAGTGCCTAATAAAAAGCAGGAGCTCTAGTAAGGAAGGTTTACTAATTATTTACCTTCTAGTAAGGGTAGCTAAAGCTCTATATATATAAGTCTAATTGTAGTAGATATAATCTAATAATCCATCTCCTAAATTATTCCTAACCTTAGTAATCTAGATTTCTACATATCCTAATATAGGCCTACTATTTTTGCCTTAATAATATTAATTATTGACACTACCTATTTTCTAATTTTTCTCTACCCCCCTTATACTAGGAGAAATGTCCTCTTAGTTATATACTACTAGGCCCTCCCCTTTACTAAGATAAGATAAGATCCTCTTAGGCTTTGCTATTTAAACTAATAGGTAGAGTAACCTATTTAAATAAGGAGAAGTAGGATAGGCTAGGTTTAATAGTAGTAATCTAATAGTAGAGGATATAAATTTAATATTAGATTATAAGAAAAAAGTTAATATTATTAAGTTTAAGTAAAGTCCCTAAGAGTAATACTATTCTATTCTCTAATCCTTTATACCTTTATACTATTTAATCTACCTAATCTTTTAGGCTAAGCCTTGTTTTCTCCTATACACCCTATGCTACAGCACAGTAGAAGAGGATATAGTAGTAGAGGTAATATAATAATATTATAGCGTGGGCACCTAATTAGACCCCTTAAAAAGCTACTTATATAATCTAAAAGATTTAATCTACTCTAATAAATCTAATAATTATAACTCTAAAAAATCTTATAATAATAGCTGTTATAGGTGGCGCAATATCCTTATTTAGTAGGTGGTGGATTTTGGTGGGGGTGGGCGCTCGGTGGTGGATCACGTTAGTAGCGTCTGTGCGGATAATCACGTAAGCTTGTCGTAGATTGTTGTCCAGCAGCTGGTACTAATACAAGGCTGGGAGAGCTCGTTGCTCGGTCTATTCAGTGCACTTGATGAAAGGTGGTCTCTGCTCATGGGCTTCATAGAACGTCCCGTCTGTTTTGATTTGCTCGATGCGCATCGTCTTAGGATTGAATGCCCTCTGACGGCCAGGTGGCGGCGCCGTCTGCAGCACTTGGTTCAAACGTGCTGGATAGTCTTCGATGCGAATACGTCCGAGATACGTCTTTGCGTAAAACGTCTGGGACATTTCTGGTTCTCGCCCCGGTTTGGAATGGAATCTCATGCCTGAGACTAAATCACCAGTGACGTGGAAGATGTGCCCCCCTCCGTCTGCTTTCGTCTCGACAAAGAGAACATTTTGATATCTCGTCTCGCTGCCCATTAGAGGATGTTGCGTTCCTAATGAGTATTAGATTTTGTATAAATTGTATCCTAGGCCAGATATCATGAATGCTAAGTATTCTGGAAGATGAGATTGTGAAAATAACTAAAGGAATACCGTACTGCAATACTAAATCTGTACTACCATAGTTCTATCTTATATATCCACACACTGGTCCTGCGTAGTGGTTTTGCGGCGCATTCTCAAGCATCACTCAGATGGGCGCTTACATGGCTAATCATCACGAAGAAGCGCGCGGTAAGCATGAAGTGTGACGGTTTTGAAGCTCGATACTCCCCAATGCGGCTGCATGCGGGCTGCTTCTAATAGACGCCAAGAATTGTGACCACATGGGTATGCTCTTTCAGCGCGTGGAAATAGAAGGAGTAGAGATCGGGCTTAGGAGCTCCTTTCTGCAACGCTAGAGTTGTGGAAGCAGAGGCTGTTGGCAGAAGAAGATGGAGTGCTGGCACCGGGCGGGCCTGCTGCGCTTGGTCCCGGTGGTACCTTGGCTCATCCCGAGGTCTCCAGGATGCGCCACGACTCTCCTCTACTCCAACAACATTATACCTTCTCGATGCATCCTGCTGCCGTCACTGCTTGGATTTCGGAGCTCACCTCTCCTCCTCCGGCCCTGACTCCCTCCCACAAGCACGCGAGAGCTTACCTTTGCGAGAGTGTATCACCGCGCAAGACTCGCCGTCTCACACTGGATGAAAAGATGTCTACTAGCCACACCAATCCTGTGCCGTCACCGCACAACGAAGATTCCGACAGTCGCAACGTCTTGGAGGAAAATGTCACACGAACGCCATCACCCCTCAAACGCCGATTGCCTATCGACATGTACTCTCCCGATGCAGACCCCGTGGACGAGCTCGATGAGCCTACGCCCCGGCGATCCAACACAAACAACGTACAACCTGTCCGCAAGCTCTCGTACAGAGAGACTCTTGACGCTATCACAGATGATCTCCACGGTCATGGCTCCGGGAATAACTTCAAGTCTCGATTTGTTTTGCGACCAAGCACGCAGTCACAGTCGGCGTCAACATCTTCTGCCCGCTCAAGAAGCCCGAGAAAGGTCACTTCGTTGCGGCACGTAGGGAGCGGCGTCACGTACACAGGTCTGGCTGCCACAACGGATCTCCAAGAGATGCAACTGGGAACTGCAGGGTTTGCTCTCCTCCAAACTTTGTACGACGCAATCGAGGGCCCTGTGTTCGCTGCGAGCTTGCAAGAACACTTGGGCAAGGCGAGCATTGGGAGAATCAGGCCCTCCCAGCTAGATCACAATGACGACCGTCCAATAGAGGAGCTTCTGCGCGAGCTGCACATTGTGCAGACTATCTATGCGCTGTCAAATCGCTGTGTGGAGAACCGGGACCACGAGAGCGAGTGGAACAATCGCGTTCACACTAAAGTCTTAGAGCTGGCTTTAGGTAACGACGAGGCAAGTGTTGGGTTTCGAAGCGTGTGAGTTGTACTCTGCTACAATGAATTCTACTTTGCTGACCAACGGTATTTCCGCGTAGAACATCTGCAAAAATTACAGCTGACTTCCGACCGACACATTGCCCTGCTCTTACCACCGCCAAGATAGTTGACTACGTGATTTTCCTTGAACTCTCACACCCTGCTCGCGATGCCGTATTGCCTCTTGTCGACATGCCATCACAGTCTATTAACCACGTGAGCTATGATGGCCTGCGAACTCGACCTATAGCTGTATCCATCGAGACTAAAACTGAGAGCCGTACTCAAGAGGAAGCGAAAGTGCAGTTAGGTGTGTGGTTGGCGGCGCAAGTGGCCCGCATCGAGAAGCTAATGCAGGAGACTGTTCTGCTGAAAGCGAACAAACATGAAGCAGCGAGGCAAGCAGGACTGGAAGATATTAGACACAGGCAGAAACGTCCCATGCATACGCAACCACAGACGCAGGATCTGGCCCAGCCTTGTACCATCAACAATGTTAACCCCGATCCCAAACACCTCATCTCTCAAATCGTGTTTCCCCTCCTTTCCGTCCAGTCTGATGTATGGTATCTCTTCTTTGGACGGGTGTCCACTCCTCCTGGAATAGCTGATAATTCAGACATCCGGAAACCTGCCTCGCCCATCCAGATCTTCTTTTCTGTTGCTCTTGGAAGCACAGCAAATATAACGCAGACATATCGACTGGTGAAGAGCCTAAAAGCACTAAGGGCGTGGATTGATGAAGATTTTCGGAAATGGTGGGATGAAGTTCTAGATGTCGACGGGGATGGTACAGAGGAGAGGGAGGCCAGAATGAACTAAGATTGTCACCAATCTCTGAGTTATATCGGCGACTCAGTAGGCCTGGTATGGCTCTTTGACCAAAGTTGGTATTATAGCACTATAAGTATCTATCTTGGACACGCATACTATGGTGGAGGAGACAAGAATTAGGCTACCGAACCAGGCCCAGGCGCACATGAAAACAGGCACGGAGATGCATGGGAAGGAGGATCGGAGAAACCTTCAGATGAACAACAATTAACACACGCTCCTTTACCGGTACAACGCGCCTCAAGCATAATCTACTTTGGACATGACGAACGCTCCACAACAATAAATAGCAACTCACTAACCCGAACAACCACCCCACCCAAGAATCCTCCAAATCTCCACACATAACCTACCCAAGATCTCGCCATGCCCAAGAACCAAGAATCCGCTCGTATAACACACATACACAACACACGACATTCTTGTCCCCATCTCCCATAACGCCACCATCCCTGCCGCACATCACACGCGGAACGCGCGACGCCATACCCATGTCCACGCCCTTCCTCACCCCTGCCAGCCGCGGCTGTTTTTCCGAGTTGGGATGTCAGGACTCCGGTGGAGGTTGGAATGCGGTACTTTGTGCGGTGTATGAAAATCTACACATTTTTCATGCTGTATGTAAAAAGTACCATGCAGGAATATGGCAAGCAAGGCAGGATAGGGTGAGCATCGCGCTACAGCATCCTATACACCTCACCGCACCTGATCGGCAACTTGGAAATCACACAAGTATACTGTACATACGGTACACGCTAGGCCTGCATACCGCAATCTGACAAGAGGGGGTCGGAGATGCCACAGGCCTTGCCCCCGTCCACCCAGCCTACTATGGTAGATCACAAAGAAAAAAGTCATTTGCGCGCGGGCCGAGGATAGATGGGCGATACGAGCCGTAGTCGAACTTTGCGCAATCTTGTGGCTGGGCTTGGGTGTGTATCAGGTTCATTGTATACAACACTCGAGGATCGGGTTGTGAATTAGGTTTTTGGTAAAGTGTTTTGGATTTGGGAAGGTTTTGTTACTGCGATTGCATGATGCGTGGAGATGAGGAAGAGGGAGTTTTGAAGCATGGGGAGGGGGGAGGCCGGAGGAAGCTGCTAGATACGGTAGGTTCATTGGCGTGATATCTGCATTGATCTTGATTCAGTGAAGTCGCGCATGTCGGAAACCGAGGGAAAGTGTTGCGATATCACGACGCGGAAGGGTTTTTCTTCGTTTTTTCTTCTTCTTCGTTTTTTCTTCTTCTTCGTTTTTTCTTCTTCTTCGTAATTAGGGTTCAGGGCATGAGGTAGATGGTGAAACGACTAGAATTTTTAAGCCGAACGACTACTAGGTTCCTTGACCAGCGTGTCGGTGCTACTGTGCGTGCTATTTTCGCGGTGCGGCTCTGCCTTTGCGCTCCTCATCTCAACCCAGCTTTTACCTGAGACGTCTGATCTCCAGCCGTTGAGATTGCCCTCGTCGTCTTCGACTTGCACGCGAATGTCGGTTATGACCTGGATGTCGCGATCGTCCTCGTCCGAGTTTTTGGATTGGGGATGGCGGGCGCTCGAGTTCAAGACGTAGGCGCTGTGGGATTGGAGGTTGCGGCGGCCGTGGCTGGTGCCGATGGTGGAGTAAAGGCGTGGTGCGGTGTCGGTGCGTTTGTGGGAGGAGAAGAAGCCGGGGAGAAGGCGGGTGACGAGGGGGCGGAGGAGAGGGAGGCAGGCGCAGATGATGCCCACGTTTGCTTCGACGCAGGACCAGGTCGCTGCGCCGGCGTTGTCGTAGGTTGGATCTGTGGAGTTGGAGATGGAGACGAGTTGAGGCAATCGGAGGATGGAGACTACGCAGACGCTGATGATGGTGGTGATTAGCACGAGTTCGTTGAGCAGGGACAAGACTCAGCTGTGGATATGGTACTTACAAGCCACCGACGGCGAAGATACCAATCAGTGCTCCCTTCTGTCGCTTTCCAAGGTTGAGGCTTCGAATGACGGGCATGGGCATTATGATTATCAGAAAGTCTTGCAAAATATTGATACCGGCATTGGTGCTGCTTCTGATCAGTACAAGTCTTATGATTGCCATGATGGGACCACTTACAACCACATGGCGAATTGATTAAGGCACTTTGCATTCGGCTCCTTGGTCCAAAAAGCTCGGACTGGTATGCAGGTAAAGATGTTACCGAACACTGTCCAAGTGCTATACACACTGACAAAGACAATCATGACCCAGCTTACTATTGTGAATCTCGGGGTAGTGAAGACTCGCAGGTACTGCAAGAGGATGGAGATTTTCTGGAAGCCGAGAGCGAGACCGTAGAAGATTAGAGACACCCAAAAGGCCTGACGGGTTGTTAGTTTTGTACATACAGCAAGAGTAACATGGCGACATACCTTCAGAGACTTTGTCGAATCCTCTGGCTCTATATCTACAATATGGTGCCCCATGCTATAATGCACCTCTGTTTAGGCGTCAGCTCCAGAGAATACATCAGACAAAGGTATACCCACGAAAGCCAATGCACACGGCGAACCCAATAGTAGACAGCAAGGCCAAAAAGATGAAGTAGTCCTCCAGTCCTGGGCATCGGACCAAGAACGCTCGGGTATACAACCGCATACCAACAATGACACAAGCAATGACCGTGAACGCAATGGAAATGTCAAACGCCTGCCGGCCCCTCGGGTTCTCCGAGCGACTGAGGGTCATGATGACAGTCGCTCACTCTGTGCAGGAATATGGCAGTGTCGAAGGAACCATAGGAGGTCGATGCAATCGTCTTTGTTTCCCCACAGAATCTGCGAGTATAGGGATCGGTCCGGGTTAAGAATGAATACGAAGGAAGAAACCCATCAGTCACCAGCATGGACAATTCGGTTATGAGCGACTAAACATGTGGCAGTGGCTCCCATGTGCGTGAAGGAACCATGCATGCTCGCTCGATTGTAATGGTCCGGGCGTAGTATGTATGTAAATCAGGCATTGCAGTACCCGCCACTATGGATAGCTTTGAAATAGCTCTGAATCGTGCCGGTTCAACTTCCCTGATGGCAGGGTATCAAGAAATGTGCACCGAAAACAAGCAATGTGACACTATGCACTTCGCTGTAGCCGAGGCTTGAATGACTCCAGCCAATTGGGCAACGCCTTCTTTCTCAGAGTTGCTGCATTACTGATCGGTGACTACCTACACGAGTCAATTGCCTGATATGTGTGCAAAAAATGTCTCGAGGGCCTCCTAAGATTGTTGGCGCACATCGTATTCTTTGAGTTGCGGCTGCGGGGCACATCAACTAGTGAAGTGTCCCACATGGCGTCCTGGAATGGAACTGGATCGAAAATGAACCAGTGGCCACGGTAGATTTACCGAAAGGAATTTGCAAGTTGGCCTGACACATAACCATGAAAGGGGGCTGTTGGGAAGACCACCGACCTAAAGGCTAGAGCGCATCTGAATTCAGCGCCCTCGAGATGCCGCTCCACTGCCGACGCTTGTAGAGAAATGGTAAGCTACTGACACTACTCATCCTTTGTCTGCTATGAACAAGACTGGAATACTCCGTGATCCTAGGTATAGTTAATAAGCTATATGTGAAGTATATTCAGGTGACGGCTGCAAGATCGTGCCTGTAGCAATACAAACCTGTCAACAACAACCTTGGGCAAAAAGGCAATCGATCCATGCAGAGGTGCTCCCATTTCGCTCAGGCCTGCCGCTCCATCCACACCAGCGTAGATATAAAGTTTGGACGGATTCTCTTGACGTTCGCGTATGCCTCGCCGTTCGCGTGCAACGACTCAGCCATCGCTCTCAGCCCAGCGATTGGCTCTTCTCGTAGCTGGCTTGTCGTGCGGCACATGAGAGTTAGGGGGGCACGTCGCGGTGAAGTCGAACATGGATTGGACAGAGCACCAGCTTAGCACGGGCAAAGTTGCCGGATCGAGATCGAGAGGCGGGGAGATTGTGAAGTGCAGGCTTCGGGTCAAAAGCGTATACTGTACATACATAGTACATAGCCAACTGTACATCATTAGGTCGGAATGGGTCGAGATAGGGTGCCTAATCTGTGACTTTCATGAAGCTGCTCCCTTCTCATTGGCCTTTCTTGAAGTTCCCTCTTCGCCCTCTAGATCTGTGGGGAGGTGGATGGATCCCCACAATAGCGTCGATTAGAAATCGGGCCGATAGCTTAGATGCTGCCGGTATTGCTTGTCGCCCATCTTGATCCTTTGAAAATTCCAATCGACCTTTTTGTCCTTAGGAGGCAGGTATGTTTTAGCGAGAGCTGTGTATGCAGGACTGCAGGTCCCAGCGTGTGAGTCCTGAAACGCAGAGACCAGGCAAGTTCCGTCAGGTACCCTAAACACCACTCGAGACATCATCTGGCTCGCCACCGACGGAAGTCCGCGAAGCTGGTCCGCCAAAAGTCAAAAAACGTGACGGATCTCGGCTGTGAGATCTCGCAAACGGCTTCGGTATGTCGCAAGACTTGATCGCCGCGTGGCAGCACGGTGACCTTTATGTCATGCAGAACGCATGAACCCGATCTACCATAGACCTCAGTTCAACATCTGAACGATCGAAGCCCTCTTTTCTTTCCTTGAGCTGAAACTGCTATCGTTCGTCCGACAAAGCAATCGGCCAAGCGAAACGACAACAGAACCCCGATTTCAGCAAGAAACGATAAAAGTTGGAAGTTCGTGCTGCAACTTCCACCAGCGTCCCATGGCCCACAATGCACATGGCGGCCACTGCATGAATCAAACCGGCTACAGTCCCGAAAACAAGGGGAAGGTGGCGTAGACGATGTTGGGAACGTCTCTGATCAATGCGAGGCGTTCGCTACAAGACTCAGAAGCTTTGGCTAGATCTTGCAGCTGGGCGTTGTGGTGGCGCTACAAGCTACGGCACGTTTGCGAGCATGGCAGCATGGCCACCGGTACTGTCCTTCCGAAACGCGAAGGATGGGGGAAGAGTCTCGCCCACGGCCCTTACCATAGTAGTGAGCAAGCCACAAGACGACATTTACGATGGTCGATTGTCCCGATCTGGCAGCTTTACCTCATATAATGATGTGTGAAGCATGAACGACTAAACTGTGACTTCTACCAGCAGAGCACCACTCTTGAAAACACAGCTCATCTCCATGCTGAGTCAAGGAATGTTGGCGTATTACCTGGGACTGTCTGAGTTGTTGTACCGTATTTTAGCGTTGCATTGCAATGCTTCGTATGCTTTGAGAAGCTGGTGGGGGGCCTGACGCTGAATCAAGATGAAAGGATCCTCATATCGTCAATCTCATTGATACAATAGAGTGAGGCTTGACTGTATACATACGTACACATAGCCTTGCACCCCTTCTTCAAACATAAAGACGCACCACCTGCGCCAAAACCGCAACAGTTGACACCCACCCTGCTCAACGCCTCCCATAAACACTGTTCTCGTCCCGTCTAAACCCCAAACTCCCCGCCTTCCTTTTCACCCGATCCGTCTTCTCCCCCTCTCCACCGCCACCGCCCTCCAGCACCCTCGTCTTGCCAAACAAATTGCCTTCATTCGCATCATCCACATGTCTATGATCAAACTCTGCATCGCGACGGAACAGCGCCATGATGTCCTTCATGCTGAGCTTGCCCATTGCTTTGCCACCCTCGATAGCGGCGTTGGCGAGCTTGCGCTTCGCTTCTTGAAGTTCTTGGATTCGCTCTTCGACGCTGTTGTTGATGAGGAGGCGATATACGGTTACGTCAACCGTCTGATTGAGACGGTGGACACGATCTATCGCCTGTTCTTCTACAAACTGGAGGGGTTTGTTAGCACGGCTCAGAGAGCTAAAAGTTTGTGCGCATGAGCAAACGTACAGGGTTCCAAAACGGCTCCATAATTACGACGCGACTTGCGGCTGTGAGGTTGAGCCCCAAACTCCCGCACTTAAGACTACATAGCAGGACACGAGTGCGCTTGTCGTTGCGTAGTTTGGCGAGACTGGCTTCACGCAAGTCATTGCGCATACTGCCATCGTAGCGTGTGAAGTTGTAGTCTGCGCGCTTGAGGAAGGGCTCAATGAGGTCGAGCATGGACGTGAATTGAGAGAAGACGATGACCTTGTGCTCTGGAGTCTCTTTCTCGAGAATCGAAAGGAGTTGCCGGATCTTGGTGGAAGGCACGAGATCAGAGGCGTCGTACTCTGGCTGTGAGCTATCCGTTTCGGCATCACCCTCTGAGTCGGCTTCGGAGTCTGAATCGCTATCAGAGTCGTCGGTCTGTGAAGTCTCTGAATCATCCGAATCTAAGTTGACGGCCTTGGTAGGCTTTTTGGCCTGCTTGTGACGCACAACAGGGTCCTCGTCCTCGCTGTCTGTGTCATGGACGATGAATGAGTCTAGATTGCTCTTGCTCTCATCTTCGCTGGCAGAGTCTTGCGAGTCAACAGAAGCAAGTGTATCGCCACCACCCTCAGCATTCTCATCATCTGTCCCGCCAGCTTTGCCGAGATCCTCGACTTGTTGATCATCAGAGACTAGCCACTCAGCTCCCTCTTCGTCGTCACTATCGGCAATAACAGGTCGCTGACGCGCGGATTTGGCAGTTTTTGGTTTCACTTCCTCATCGCCATCGCCATCGTCATCGTCATCGTCATCGTCTGCCTTATCATGTGTGCTAGACTTCTCACGCTTGTGCTTATGCTTTCGTTGTTTCTTCTTGTCCCTATGCCCGTTTAGTGATAGATTCTTCCCTATGGCAAGGATGCGACTTACTTCTTCGATTTCTTCACTGAAGCATGGAGATCTCCCTCGCATTCCTCGCATCGTACCGCACCACTTGAAGCATTGGAGCTATTCAGCGGAATCTGGCAGATGTCACATCGCTTGGTAGCTACACTCATTGCACCCAACAGATCCGCTAGATCATCGGGATCGTTGTCGTTGGCTCCCTTGCGTGGATTCTGAAGGCCGGTTGGAGTCTTTGGTTTTGTGCCTGTGGTCATGGCATCCTTGTCAGCCTTGACGTTACTTTTGGTCAGGTTTGGATGATTGCAAGCTTGTCGTAAGCGAAGCAACAAGACGAGAGCTCCAATGTAATCCTGTTTTTCACCGCCCATCATCTCGTCAAGACGACTCTGTGCGCGATCAGATAAGCGGTCGTAGAACGCGCGCTCTTTCGCCGTGAACTCTCCTATGATGGTCTCGACGTTTCGCCCAACAATCTGAAAGCCACCCTTACTATCCTCGCCGTTCTTGGCCTTGCCGCCAAAGTTGAGAGCGCCGTCCTTCTTGAGTACGTCCTTTGTGCGACGCTTCATGAAGGCTTTCAGAAAGATCTGTAGTCGCCTCATGGCCAGATTGCCGCGGCCATTCTTCATTGGGCCCGAGATGGAATCTTTCCAGCTCGACATCTCACAGTATGGTTGTATGCGCAGAAACTTGATTAAACTCTGGAGCTCATCGAGATTATTTTGCATCGGCGTGCCCGTCAGACACCAGCGGTAATGTGAGCGAATCTCGTAGCATGCTTTGGTCATCTTTGCGTTGCGGTTCTTGATCGTGTGCGCTTCGTCCAGCATGGTACGATACCAGTGTACGGCGAAGCAACCCTTTTTGAGACCATCTGGTCCATCGCCACAGCTCGCGTGTTCTGATGCAAGGACCTGATAGGTAGTGATGACTATATCGTATTGCTTCAGCTTGTCGGCAGATTTGGTACGGTTTGGGCCGTGGTGGACCAAGACCTTTAGCTCGTGCGACTTGGCGACCTTGGAATTGATTTCAGCCTCCCACTGTTTGATGAGTGCCAAAGGCGCCACGACTAAAGTGCCTTTCCCAGTCGAGTCTAAGATTTTGTTCTTCTTGTTCTCCGGCTCAACGCCCTTCTCTGGTCGCGGATTCGAGAGGATGAGAGCGATCGCTTGCACTGTCTTTCCCAAGCCCATATCATCCGCCAGTATGCCACCCTTTGGGAGCTTAGCGCGCTTGTTGTGGTTGCCGGTTTCCTTTTCTATCATCCACGCGACACCGTCAACTTGATGTGGTAGAAGCTTGACCTTGAGACCGTCAACCGTACCATCGTCTTCTTCTTCGTCATCCTCCTCCTCTTCTGCCTTTGTCTCTGACTTGTCCTCTTGATCCTTAACCTCAAGTGCTGCTAGACGATCAGCCAGGGAATTGCCAGCTGCTTTCGCCTCTTGTTGCTTCTTTTTTTTGCGACCGCGCGTGCGCGGGATCTTCTCGCTGTCTTCGTCAAAAGCACCCTCGAGCAGAGCCTTGATATTCTCGCTGGCTTCACCCTGGTCGACATAGGCATACGGGTCAGGCGCACCGAAGCGGTCGCCCTCTGCACGAAGAGCTGCGTCTGGATCGAAGTTGTCTTCATCATCGAGTAGTACCGTCTTTCGGCTCTGTTGAAGTGGGTTATGTGTGCCCTTGTTCACCGGTTGGAAGCCGTTGGAGTGGTCCATGGAGGAGTACATCGGTCGTGGAGGAGCATAGGTAGTCTGTGGCGGGGCATTGTATGGTTTAGGCACTGGAACAGGGGCAACTTGTGCTGCTGGGCGTGACAGGAAATGCGAGGCTGGAATCTCGACGATGTCAGAGCCAGTAGACGATGCCGTACTAGGACGGGGACCTGCTTGTGTCTTTGGAACCTGGAATGGCCGGTTGAGTGTGTCCAGCGGGTTAGCTGGGACTGTGGGCGGCTTGGAGCTGCCAGAGTATTGCGACGGTAAGCGAACCGACTGCTGGTGTTCTGGTCGTAGCTTTCCAGGCTTTGGATTGTTGAACAAGTTTGAAAACTCATCTTTTCGGTCCTCCTTGAGAGGATTCCTCAGTGGACTTGTCTCGCCAAATTGCGGTGCTGGTTGGCGTAGTTCTTGGAGTGGTTTCGCTGGTAGCGCAGAGGCATCTTTGCGCAGTGGCTGCGAAGCTGGAGCTTCGCGCTCTCGAACCATGTTGTTGTATTGTGTTTTTGCAGGCTTATTGTTTTCGCGGCCTCTTGAAGGAGGCGCCCGGGTTGTGATAGTAGAAACAACGAGTGCTGGGCTTGCAGTCTCGCTTTCCTCGAAAAAGGAGCTGGAATCGCCCAGATAGCTCACGTGTGTCGTACCGTTGAAAGAGGAGTCGCCCTCTGAGAAGACGTCGTCCGTGGCGTGGTGGCGGGTTGCGGGAGTGACCGGTTTGAAGTTTGGTCGTTGTGCAATGGAAAAGGTGTTAATTGGGATGAAAGGTGCGCGGTGTTTGCGCGAGCGCTCATTCATCGACTGCGCTATGACCAGAGGATTCAGTCTTCATTCGTATCCTATATCGCAGGTCTCTCCAGCTCACAGTGTTGATGTCGTCACGGACATCGAGGCAACCCCTCGATTCCTTTGGTGGTGCTGTTGTTTCCTAATCAGGCATCGGGCTCGGCTGATGTTGCCGTTGCCGTAGCACCGCCCCTCCAAGCACGCGCAACACGCGTCTCACAACACCACGATGTCACGGGACCTAATCCTTCCATGCATTCACACATGAACACAGCATCAACGCCGTGTGTACCCAGCATCTATACACCCACTACAACCACACCGCCAAGAACACCACAAAAACTGCAGCGAATCTCGTCTATTGGCTAATGTTCAGATATCCAAATACCTACCATACCGCTACCCGTACCGGTGACTAATCGCAAGGCAGCCAAGTTAGTAATCTTCAGTGATCACTATGGCAATGAAACAAGCCAACACTGCTCAAAAAATGAGACGCCTTGAATACCCAAATGACCTTCACTTTATCCTACATAGGAACCCAACAAACGAGTGTGTCTTCATCTCTCTTAGAATCCTAGAAGTAATCCAGCCATGAGTGATTCGAACGCGAACAGTGCATGTGTGTGATTTCCTTACCTTGAACTTGAACTTCGTAACCAACTACTTGTCCATCTTAGCTCGAGTATGTTGTTATTCAAGACAATATTACTTTCATTTTTTTTCCTGTTCCGCTTGAACCACGCTTTGTCGACAGTTACTTCACCCATGTGCCGTCTTCTCCTTCGGCAATGACCACTAGGCGTATTCTCATAGCTTCCCAGAAATCGCCTAATTCAAGTGCAGTCATGCGTAGTGTTCTACCCCTTCTGGTTGTACATCCTGCCCGATTAATGACAGCAGCGGGCTGGTAAAAATCTAACTCGAATGTCAAGGATTGTCCAGCTATATCAGAGCTAAACTTCACGGATCGTTCCGAGCCTCTCTGAATGATGATAGATAATCAACAATAAGAAACTGCACTGCAAATGCATTGATCCTCAATCGAGCAGGGTGTGGGTAAGGTAACATAGTGGTCATAGACTCCATGGGTACAGATTGATTGGTGCCGATGTCCAAGTATGATATTCTGGTGCACTGTGTGCTGTCATCAAGACGCATAGGCCAATGCACCTGCCCTTCCCAGCCACACCACGACCATGATGGAAAGTCCACTCGCCTCCGAGCAACCGACCTCAAGCCATTAATAATCCAAGATAGGCCCCAACCAAAGATATGTTCCTCTGTCGAGATGTGAGGGATGTCCCAAAGATGGAGCAAGCCATTCTCAGCTCCAGCATCGAGAACGCTTCGGATCGCGTTCAGTGCGTCTGAGTGGTAGGACAGCTTACCACATCAGTAATTTTCGATATGACGGACAAATTCCCATGGCTATTCCAGAGGTATTCTCAGTGAGTAGAGCATGAGACCAACTTTATCCAAGTGTTGGATATATCCATCTGGTTTCGTCAAGTCGTTCTCAAGTATAATTTCGAGTTCGGGGGTCCATGCGTAATCTTCTCTGAAGTGATGAATTGGACATTGGTAATAAGCCTGATGTTTCCAAAAGATGAGCCCTTCTCTGAGAAAGAACCCGTTCTTGGTAAGTCCAGCCTCTTGACCTCCAAGGACTATTCTCAAGGACGTTCCAACATTCCGGTGACATACCGTAGAAGGTGAAGCCATTGGCAACGAGTTTGGCCTGCTTAAACCTCTTAAACCTGCTCATACCAGGCAGTCCACAGTCTGCAGAACCACTATCTCCGGCAATAATCGTAAGAGCTGCACACTTGTATACCAGATCCGTCCGTGCGATCTGTCTATGCTTGACGGAGTGAATAGTCGATACACAGTACATGTCGACCCAAAGATATCAGGATCCAATCTCCTGGACACGTATTGCATCTTCGATAGTCCTCGGACAATTCTGCGGGATTTGGAAAGGAACCGATTGTTTAGCAGCACTCAGGCTGTTGGTGGTGTTTCCCCACACATAGCTCAGGGCCACGAATTGAATGTTGTGTGCGAGCAATTGTGCCGAGAATGGCAGTCCAAGAGATAAAGTGGCACCTCATCAGGCCATGTGCTCTTAATCAAGCAGGTTCTTCTGCACGATGAGATCCATCGCCACAGTTGATCGAAATCTACCTGCGAAGATCATGTTTTGAAGGGTGCGAAATAGACCGCGTCAATTTATCTTTCAATTGGGCCCTTGGAACTACCGGTAGCCTCCCCCATGGCATCGCGATACCAGTTTCTACCTGCGAAGGTAATGCTTTGGAAGATGCGAAGATAGATGGCGTCACTTCATATTTCAGTTGCTCCATTATAACTGGTCTCCCCAACGGCAGCGCGATACCAGTCTCTGTCGAAGTTACCACAAATTTTCATATAGGAGCTTGAATACGGGTACAGTTCTCAGGTGAAGTTGTCGCGGTCCGCACCAGTTATATCGATAGCCTAAGTCAAGGCAACTACTGGTATACTGACCAAATGTCAGGTCAGCAATCCTAACAGACGGCTGTTTTCGGACTGCAACACGGCGCAAAAATCGACAAAAATCGCAGCTCGAATCTTCGATTATGTGAGGTAAATTACACAGTTTCAGACCTGATTGCCCTGCTCTAGTAGGGTTTGCCTCTCGAACAACTTGAAAGAGTTCCATGATCTTCTCAATCACCATCGCGCACCCCTCACAAACATCTTCACGCCCGTAACCCCATGTCGCAGGAAATTCTTGATCCTCTCCATCCTCTACATTCTCCACCTTTTCCACAACAAAGGTCTCGTCATCCATGCTTGGGGAAAATCGATCAAAGGCTATATCCTCGTATCCGGATCCGCTCCAGGTCTAGGTCCAGGTTTAGAGAGGTGGAAGAAAGACGATACAAGGGAATAGAACAGATCGCCAGGCTGACTCTGACAAGATGAATCCCCAAAAGGACACATCATAGCGGGGTACCTTGCACCCAGCATTTCTGTGTCAGTCATCAGGTCACCATCGTGCAACGGTACGTAACCAAAACTAGATAAGATGGGTTGATGATGTGACTTGAGGGTTGAGGGGAAAGCATACGCGCACGAAAGATAGAAAGAGAGAGAGAGACAGAGAGAGGAAGAAAAAAAGAGAAGAGTTAGTGTTACTGGGACGAATAGGGGGAAGGAGCAGCCCACCTACTCACCACACCAAAAGTTACCCGGTGGTCGCTTTACCGAGTTGACGAACACATCGGCTATCAGGTTTCACAGTAAGCGGAGAAGTTTTGTTGTAAAGATTAATACAGCTCATCTCATTCATATGGTACAGTGTAGGGATAGCCCACAGGATAACTTGCCCACTCATCCTCTACACATGCGTAGAGGAAGTAGAAGTAGGAGTATCATGTCTTGCGTAGGCGTCATATCGCATGGCATCATCGCATGGTATCGTATCGTATCGTCGTCATCTTCGTTTTCCTCCGATCAAGAAAGTACGCAGCACAAAGGAAACAAGAAACAAAAAAAGACAGAAGCAATGGCAATCTCCATCGCCACAACTCCCCAGATATTAGACATTACTGGCGCACATGCAAATGAACCATGACTGATAAGCCTGGTGAAAGAAGAGAAAAGAACAAAAACACAAAGAAACTGCACCTCGCTCACCCCCTTCACCACCAATCACATCCTCGACCCGTCCTTCAGCTGCATCCTCTCCATTGGAGGCGGCATTCTCACCCGTGGCTTGCTCTGTCCTTTGAAGAAAGCCCTCAGCTTCCTGTTGGTAACCATCTTGTCGACGGGATCTGTCTCAAAGGAGCCGCCAGTGCCGCGGATCGGAGTCTTACGCTGAGTCCCACTCTGGTTGGAGTTGGGGCTGGGCGTCACGGGAGCGCGATGGTTGTTGGAGTTGGAGCTGGGCGTCACAGGGGTACGACGGTTGTTCGAGTTGGGACTTGGAGTGACCGGGGCGCGACGGTTGTTCGAGTTGGGGCTCGGTGTGACTGGCTCACGTGGTGTGACGTACTGGTAGGCTGGCATACGGGATCTAGGTTGGTTGAAGAGGCGGATGGGAGGACCGGTGGCGGGAAGACTGATGAGGGATGAGGGGGGACGAGGGGTAGGGAAATGAAACTGGGAGCGTTGGGTCCGGGGTTGAGGGGGGGTCTCGGGTTGAAAGGGTGGGAGCCGATATTCGACGTTGTTGTCGTTGACATGGTTGGATCCAGATTCGGACTTGATGTCGACATCGTCTTCTTCATCTTCGTCTTCATCCTTGCCTTTAGCTCCGCCTTCACCTTCGTCTGTGCCTTCTTCGTCATCTGCATCTTCAGACATTTCATCTGTAATCATGTCAATCAGACGACGCTGCACTCTTCCAGCCCCGCTATTGACGTGACTGCCTTTAACTCTCCAAGCAAGCTCCATCACTCGACCTTCACCCACCATGTCCGCAATTCTCTCATTTCGACGCGTCATCCGATCGACACGCCTCGCCCACGGTGTCACATTATTGTGAGTGACGGAACCGCCTCTGCGGCCAACGCCTGCACCCGTGTTTGCATGAATGATACGTTGATTCTGGCGCTGCTGGAGGTGAGGCGGCGACTGTTGATGTAACTGGTACGGGGACTGATATGGAGACTGATATGGAGACTGATATGGGGACTGATATGGAGACTGATATGGGGATCGGCTGCGCCGCGCTGGATTGCGTCGATGTTGATCTCGAAGGGCAGATTCGTTGCGGGCCCTACGAACTTGATCATGGAAACGACGCTCCTCTTCGTAAAAGTTGTGTTCATGCTGATAGTGAGTGTCCACACGACCATAACCACGACGCTCACTGCGAAAACCATCACGCTCACTGCGATCATAAGACTCACCAGGGCCACGCTCGTGAACCTGGTAACGCTCACGATCACGAGCCCAATCCTGAGCACGATCAAATCCATAGGCCCGACCGCGGTTGCGACCAGGACTACAATCGGGATCATGGCCACGGCCTGGACCACGGCCTGGACCACGACCCCAGGCCTCACCACGGTAGCTATCACGCCCACGGCTACCCCCCCTCACATCTGGCTTCCTTGGCGCCATGTAGCTCGTGAATTGACCGTAAGCCCCTTTGGTCACACTTGCTTGCCTTCACTTTGCCAGCCAAACGCAAGACCGCCACAAGCCCCTCTCAGCGTCTCCCAGCCCAGCAGACGACAGCAGCAGTAAGAGTCTGAACCCTCAATCCTTGTTAGCTTGACACGCGTCTTCCACCTGTCTCGTTTGCCGCTCCGATTGCCTCCTCGTGGTCGTGACTCGTCGAGTGATGCCCTGTGCGGTGCGAACATGCAGGTGCGCAACGAATAATATGCGTGTGTACGATAACTGCGGTCAAAGTGCGGGTGTTTTGCTCCCAAGATGGATGTTTGTTGTTGTTTTATGTTTGGACAGACACTAGTGACAGAGGCCGTTTGAAGGGAGCTTGGGCCTAGGGATTTGGGGCCCATGGCGACGGGGGGAGATTGACGTCAGTTGTTGTTTTGGTGGTGGTAGGCTAGGAGACGGAGAGGGGGGAGTTAAGGGGAGAAGGAGCGGGGATATACATGGTAATGTGGTCGGGAGTGGGTGTAGGGAAACTAGTGCTTCAGAAGCCAGTCAATCTTGACCTTCACACCCACCGAACGTCAAGGTTGACTGGCTTCTCACCAAATCTCTCACTCCAACAGCACAAACCCACGCACACTAAGCGAACATGCCAACCTTGCTAGAAAGAAAACAATTTAAGAAATCTCCATGAAAAGAAAAAAACCCCCACAAGTGACAAAAGAAAAACAACTCATCTTCAGATTTCAGACCCAGTCTCGAAGTACCAGACAGGTCATCAGGAGAATGCCCAATCCAGCCAGCGTCTAGAGAGCCAGGGTTTCATACCTTCACATCCACAAGATGGAGTGACAGAAAGATGCAAGACCAGGTGACAAGAAGAAGAAGAAAGACCCAAACCCTAATCCCAGACCATCCATTTGCATTCCAAATCTCACTATCTCGTCAGTCTTTTCATACCAGAAAAGTCGCAGTCGCAAAGGGCCCATTTCCGAGATGGAAATCGACAAGATGGAAGAGGGACGAGGTCGTGTGAGCAAGTGCTCGAGTCTCCACTTTGACTTCCCCTTCGACCTCGACACTCTCCACAAACCCCACATATTGTCAAGTCTCCACTCTCAAGTCTCATCTCTTAATTCTTAAGTTATAAACCCCCCGCCACAGACACAGACAGAGACAGAGACAAAGAGGAAGAACAGGAAAAGCAAGTTAAGGAAGACAAGGAAGATAAAAGAAACTAAAATCTTAGAATTATAGCGCTTCCCACTTCAGCAAGCAGATCAATTCAATCTTCACCCTTATATCTTCAATCTTCAATCTTCACCCTTGAATCTTCAATCCTCAATCTTCACCCTTCAATTCTTCACGCAGGAGCATTCCCATTCCCATCCCCCCTCTAGTCAAAAAGCACACACACACACACACACAAGAGGCAAAAACGAATATTAAAACAATCCAAACCCATCCTACCAAAAAAGAATCAGAATACCCCAAGCATTGAAGCAGGAGGAAGAAGGGGAAAAGTAAAAAAACAATGCCCACATATCCGCACCACTAATAAGCGCCCCAAACGTCCGGCCATGTATGTGAAGAACCAAAACAAGCACAAGTCCCAAACATAAAAAAAAAGAAAAGATACGCATCACAAATGTAATGTAGGAGTGGGGATGGTAATGAAAAAGAAAAAGGAGAAAACGCCCCAAACCCCTCCGGAGGCTTCAAACGACAGGCCAGCTCAAATATCTTCCATATTACCCGCCGCCTCGTCCTCGTCGCCCGATTCATAAGAGCCAACAGAGCTCATCTCGTCGTCGTCGTCATTGTCCTTGTCCGAGTCCTCGGCTGTGTCCTTGTTTGCGTATTTTTGTACGTACTCTGCTTGTTGGGTCAGTTTGGGTTCAAGACGGCTGTTTGGCCGAGTTTTGGTGTGGACGGCCAGTGGTAAGAGGGGGCGTACGCACCCTTGACCTTGGCATCGTAGCTCTTGGGCTCCCGCATAAGCAAGGCGGCTGCTTCGCCGTTGAGTGGATCGGTGGGGTTGGGATAACGCAGAAGTTGTGGGAGGAAGACTTCGAAGATGTTGATCATGTCGTACATGGGTGACCAGGTCTGATTAATAACGTCGAGACAGACGGATCCGCTCCTGCACCCTGAGATTAGTGCCTGTTGTGGCCTGGTTGGGTGGTGTATGTTATCCTCGAGGAGATGGGGGCAAGTTGGGGACTGCCTACAGTTCATCGATATTGGGATGGAAGATTCTGTTCACGAAGCCAATACTGGGACTCTTATATGGGTATTGGTCGGGCAATTCAACATGAATCTTCCAGAGACCGCCTTGGAATGGTGCTGCTTCTGTCAGACTGATCACTTCTCCAGGGAAGAATATTGCATACTTTCTTCTGGTCCCTTAAACCTGACGTAGAACTCTTGCCTGCATGGTGTGAGCGGTGTTCGGTTTAGATGGGACTTGGTCGACGAGGAAGACGAACACTACAGGTTATTAGCTAGTGCACCCACAGAACTGTGAGAGTGAATTATACTGTTATCGTTGACTAGAGTGACCTCGTAGTCGCTCATAAGCCTGCATGACATCAGTCTCTCATGAAGTCGCCGTGGGGGAGCGCAGCGGCTGGTCGGTTGGCGAAGTCGTGGAATGTTAACCTACATCCTAGCATCTAGTTAGCCGTGTGCAGAAGAGGGTTTGGAGTGCTATTTGACCTACTTCATGACCTGTAGAGATGATGAACAAGCGATCGTTAGCACATGGCTCTCTTCCCACGCATCTCACTGTATCGAGTACATACATCTGTTTCAATACGTCTCTTTGGCGAACTCATGTTGGCGACGGTTTGAATCTCTCTCTGGATGATCGACTTTCTGTTGTTGTATCTCTGTCCTTTTACCAGTAGGTTGAAGGGATGTAGGTATGTCGGTACTCTTCGGTGGTGGCCGTTGTGTGAGCGTTGGCCACGCGGGGACTATCGATAGCGGAGAGGTGGGGCGAGCTGAGCTGGCGGCGCCTCAGGTGCTTTGTTGGCAGTGTGTGGCTTCGTTTTACAGCTGCAGTTCAGTTGGGTAGCGAGGGTGGACTTGTGCTGGTTGGGAGAGTGTGTAGTGAGTCGGGAGTCAGTTTGGTGAGAAAGATGTGGAGGAGTTCAGGTTCGAGGACCAGGTACCGAGTACCAAGACGGAGGCAGTTGCGGGTCACGAGCTTCGATGCCGACATGTGGCGCCTTGCAGCTTGCCCACCTGGGCATCTGAATCGGCCAGGCGGCGCCGGATTCAGGCGCGCCACCGCAAAGTCATGCAGAGTCATTGCCATGCTGGGTCACTGGATGGCCGATTTCCATTTCGACGCTCCGATCGTCAGGTACCAAAGCAGTCTTGTTGTACATGTAGAAGTACTACTAGAGTATGTCTACTCTAGCATTGTCTTTGTCTCCACGGCGAGGACTGATTTCACCCCTCGAAGAGGAAAGCCTGGGGTCATGACACGTTGAGGCCAGCATCCAGCCAATGACAGGCGAGCAATGCCGCAGCTCCTCCGACAAGCCGCTGATCACGTGCCCTTGCCTTGCCTTGCCTTGGCTTGACCGCACGCTGCTTCACATGGCCGCTGCTTTCTCAACGGAGCGACTGTATGAATACCCGTCATACCACCCCATCCATCAGTCCAATGCCATATTCCCACCCGAAAACAGCCCAAGTGTAACAACAATCGCATGCCACACGTACCAATAACCCAAGCCATCCCCTCCCCTAAACAAAGGGCGACCCTGGCCTGGAACCCCCCGTTCGGCTAGCCAGCCGCCTATGCGCTCGGGACACCTCGGTTCTTGCAAAACCACCAAGCAGGACAAGCTGTACAGCGCAACTTCTCTCACAGCTCCAGCAACAAAAAAGCCCGATGCCACTCGCCCAGCGTCATGGCGCGTGAAGAGTCTTCCTCTTGCTCCCTTGGGCCCCACGCCACGCCAGACCACCAGTTCCAACCTCCACATCCCATTGCCTCGACTGCCCGTCTCGCCCACGTTTAATCACCATGTCGCGTGCCTTTGCAACCAGGCTTCGACTGTCGTCGCCGAGGACGCACTCTCTCCTCTGCTCGGTGTCGTCGCTACCCTGTTCGCCCTGGATCCGGTCTCCTACTGCGCAAGTCCGGCCGAGTTCACATTCTCCGATGGGCTCTGCGCCTGGGAATGCGCGCAAGCCCGTCACCATCCATACTCTCCACAGCCTCTACCGCAAGAACGAGCCCATTACGGTGATTACCGCACACGACTTCCCAAGCGCCCACGTCGCCGACCAAGCAGGCATGGACATGGTACTCGTCGGCGACAGTCTGGCCATGGTTGCGCTTGGAATGGAAGACACGAGTGAGGTATTGATGGAAGAGATGTTATTGCACTGCAAATCAGTAGCACGAGCAACCAAGGCCGCCTTCACCGTGAGATCATCTCCACACTGCCGCCATTATCCCAGTCGACTGACGAGTTACAGGTGGGCGACTTGCCCATGGGAAGTTACGAAATCTCTCCCGAGCAAGCCTTGGCCTCTGCCATTCGCATGATCAAAGTCGGCCGTGTCAAATCCGTCAAGCTGGAAGGCGGCAAGGAAATGGCACCGACCATCGCAAAGATCACAGGAGCTGGCATCCCCGTGCTCGCCCATGTAGGCTTGACGCCCCAGAGACAAAATGCCCTTGGCGGCTTCCGCGTCCAAGGTAAGAGCACCGCTTCGGCCGTCAAGCTGCTCGAGGATGCACTGGCAGTACAAGACGCAGGTGCCTTTGCCGTCGTGGTCGAGGCGGTACCGGCCGAAGTCGCCACCCTCGTCACCAAGGAACTCAGCATACCCACAATAGGTATTGGGGCTGGTAATGGCTGCTCCGGTCAGGTGCTGGTGCAGGTTGATATGCTGGGCAACTTTCCTCCCGGTCGCTTCTTGCCAAAGTTTGTCAAACAGTTTGGCAATGTGTGGGACGAGAGTACCAGGGCGATTTCACAGTACAGAGATGAGGTGAAGAGTCGGGAGTACCCGGCGCCAGAGCATACGTACCCCATATCCAAGGAAGTACATGACGAGTTTGAAAGGCTGGTTGAGCAAAGGCAAAAGGGGCGGTAGTGATTTTCCTCTTGGTTCATTTATAATCTTGCTTGAATATTTTTTCGGTTCACTCGTAATCCTACATGGCCATTTCCTTCTCGAATCACTCGTAATCCTACATGGCCATTTCCTTCTCGAATCACTCATCATCCTACATGACCATCTCCCTCGACACCACCTCAACCTAATCAGTCTCATCACACCCACACCCACCCAAAACCCCAGCACCCCAAGCCCCTCCACCCCCACCCCTACCCAAACGCCGGCGCCATCGCATACCCAACCACCAACTCCTCCCCCTGCCTAAAACACTGTCCCAAAAAAAACACATCAGCCTCATTCATCAAACCCCTCACCCAAACCCCCCTCAAACACACAAAACACAAGCACAAAAAAAAACACACAAACTCACCGCCCACAAATTCCCAACGCCCTCATCCAGCGCCGGCGCAAAGACACTGCCAACATAACAATACAAGCTCTCGTGGGGCGCGAGACCGAGGCGCTTGCGCAGGAAGCGCGGGATTGTGTCGAAGCGTTGGGAGGTGGAGAGTTTGAAGAGGCGTTGGGTTAGGTGGGGTGCTGAGCCGATTGGTTGGAGGCGGATTGTTACTTTGGAGGGGGATTAGATGGGGGTAGATGGGTAGGGGGAGGGATGAGAGGAGGGGGGTTTGGTGTTGATTTAGTGAGTGAAATGAATTCCAACATGCCATCCACTCCTCCAAGCCCCCCCCCCCCCCCCCCCCCCCCAAAACAAATCAAAAAATAAAAATAAAAGAAACAAACACATACCCTTCTCAACCCCCACCCCTCCTGCCCCCTCCAGCGCCCTCGCTGCATCCCGCGGCAACTGCGCAAGCACAACCGAAGCAGCCATTGTAAGTGGGGCATCTGTGGTTGTCGAGTCTTCATCTGGGATCCGCTCGTTTGGGGAATCGGACATATTTGTATGTGTGTGTGTGTGTGTGTGTGGAAAAGGGTTCGCAGGAGGCGAGGGGGTTATTCGAAGAAGATGGTACAATTTTTGTGGAGAAAAGTAGAATGGAGAAATGGGGAAATGGGGGTGATAATGGCAAGTGCAGTGGTAGTACTGCGGTACCGCGTGAGTGAGCAAAGGGTAGTAGTAGTCACGAGTGTCGTTGTAAAACGCATGCAAGTCTGACCAATCAGGGCCCGACCAACAGCAGCCCAGTCACGTTGAAAACGGGGACTGCTTGCAATAAATGATAACACGTCGCATTGATACTCTACTACACATCTACCACGATAGAGATAAAACTAGGGCGCAACTTCCTGCGCACACCTCTGGCCACGTCTTTGCCGTCTCCACAAGAAGAAATGTCCATCAAAAGTCACCCTAGTCAACGCTGCCCTCAACACACACCAACCAGCCAGGTTGCAATCGCAATCATCAGCCCAGAAGACCACAGTGGTCATGATGCAGTAAATATGTACAATGACGCATGTATCGTCAAACGCGAGAGACCGAAATCGTATCGCTTCGAAACCAAGATAAAAATGTGCAAACCTAGTCATACCAACAAAAGGGAGAGGGGTCGGCGCCTCGGAAATGCAATGTAACGGGTATTCGCTTGCAGAGTGTAAACCATGTGCCCAGGAGCCAAGAAGAGAAATGGTTGTCGACAAAGGGAACTATGGTGGGGTGGGTATTAAGTCGTGGATAAACGCCAGAATGGATGCAATGTCAAGTCGTGTGTGGTGTGGGGGGTCGTGTGCGAAGCTCATTGACGATCAAGCTGGGCAAGCAACTGATCAAGCTCAAGCCAGTTCTCATTCGTCAGTGCAAACTTGCGATGCTTGCGCGATTCAATGTGCTAGAACCAGTTAGTAGAGCGTGGAGGCAAGTAAGACTGGTATATGCTCACCTCGTCAAAGTCATTGAACTTCTCGCGACAGTTCTCACAATAGCCAGGCTTGAGTTCCTTCTCGACAGTCTTGCGTCTGCGAAGAGCAGCTACCTTGCGAGCCTGTCTTTCCTCACCCGCATCCTCATGAATGTAGCCAAGAGACTCTTGAGCTTTCCGTTTGGCTGCTCGCATGGGCTGCACATGCTCCTGGTTGAGCACGGCTCTGGCATCGTTCATGGCAGACGAGAGAGCGCTGTTGGTGGTGGTGGAGGGAACACTATTCTTTTCCAGCACCTTGCGCTTCAGCTGATTGACCTCCTTGCTATTTCCGGCACGAGGGGCGGCAGCGGTAGAAGAAATCATCTGCGACCGGATGGCGGACGTGACGTTTGACTGATGAAGCCCAGACGCGACTGGCTCTCCAGCAATAAATCGGGGCATTGCCCGGATACTAGCCTGGGCACTGCCAAACAGGGGAGGGGCACCGTCCGCAGTACTTGTCCGCTTGGTAGGAATGGCCTTGGGAGGGTCCAAGGGCTTCGAGTCTTCGTCCTCGTCCACGCGGGTGACGGCAACAGGGGCGCTGGGTCGGCGAGCCAGGTTCGTGTTCTCCATCAAAGCAGCCTTCTCCTCCAAAGCGGATGCAGCCCTTGTTCGAGGGGCTGGAGCTGGTGCAATGGCCTTGGCCGCGCGACGAGCTTCCTCTTCGTGCTGGCGACGACCAAAGTGGGGATCCTCGACAAAAGGGCACTTGCCATTGCCCGAGGCCCGGAATTGCGGCCATTTGCCCTTTTCCTTTTCAACCTTGGCATACTCTCGAATCATGACGGGTCGGGTGACTTCGTCCATGTCGTGCACGTAGACATAGTACCCGCGAAGTGGTATCATATCCTGCGACGACATGACATGGTCTCGGTCCATCTTCTCATTCTGCAACAATCTCTGCAAGTCGGCCGGGCGGCCCTTTTGCTGTAGGGCAGCAGTGCCATGGCGCGACGTGTGGCTCGTAGCATCTTCACCAGTTTCCTTGTTGAACATGGTATCGATCATGCGCTGCAACTTCTCCACCGACCATATTTTCATGTGCAAGCCCTTGGCCTTGGTCAGAACATCTGCCCGGGCGGGCTTGGGAAGGGCCTGATCGAAGATGGCCTTTGTGCTCAAAAGTTGGGTGGGGTTGACGGTGCCCTTGGCGTGCGATGAGCTCGAGTCGAGGTCGGCGGGAATGGGACGCGTGGTGATGACATGAGTAGCTTCGCGTGAGAAGAAAGAGACCTCGCGCTGGAGCGTGTTAGTATGGGCAGTACGCAGTGGTGGTAGTCGTGTTGGTGGTGATGGTGGTTGGACCTACTGAACCAAGAATCTGGGCCCGGCTCATGAGCTTCTCTTTCTGGGGGACGGGAACCGTGTCGAAGTAAAAGACAAACTGGGGGAACAGCTTGCGGTAGTGACGCTGCCATTGCCTAATCGTTTCCAAGTCGTTCGCCGCTCGCTGTGCGGCCTGCCTTGCGGGAACCTTATTCTCCCGGGCAGCCTCGAGTTTTCTAGTCAGGGCAGTTGGCTGGGCCCCACTCCGGCGAACCAGGCCATGACGTCGAGCTTCAGCGTCGTCGACCTCGATAAGCTGCTTCTTGAGAGGCGGTTGGCCATAGCCGGCATCACGCTGCTCGCTCGCGTGGGAGCGTTGGCGCTTTTCTCCGATGGCGGGTGCGCGTAATGGTGAATTGGTAGCATTCTGCAGGTTGGCGAGAGGCACGCGACGGTTCGACATGGCGACGTTGACCTGAGATGAAGGGGGTACAGCAACAGCTGCCATGCGTGGGACTCGGCCGTCGACGCTGGGCCTGAGAGATTGGGGGGTGGTTGGGGGATGTCTGCAGGTTGGCGGGGAGGAACGTGTTTACCTTCCACAATGCGACAAACTTGACATGGTAGGGTTGTTCAGCCAGCACGCGGTATAAACCAACCGCCTGAAGCCAGCACACGTGAGGGCTCGCACAACACGAACATACATCACAGCCGTCTCACTCTTGGC